TAGCTATCGGTTTACTGCACGAAACTACCGTGTGAGTATGGAAACAGGTGATAATGTGATAATGGTAGTTATTAAGGTAGTAGGAGTGATTAGGAGGGGTAGGTGAGAGGGGGAGTGTGGGAGGGGAAGGGGTGGAGAGGTAGGGGGAGGGTGGGAGGGGAAGGGGGGTAGGGAGGGGGAAGGGGAGGAGGGAGGGGGAGGGGAAAGGGAAGGAGGAGGGGGAGAGTGGGAGGGGAGGGGGGGAGGGAAGGGGAGAAGGGAGGAGGAGGTGAGAGTGGGAGGGGGAGGGGAGGAAGGAGGGAGGGAGGAGGAGAGTGGTGGGGAGGGGGCAGGAGGGAGGGGAGAGTGGGGAGGGGAGGGAGGCAGGAGGAGATGGGAGAGTAAGAGGGAGGGAGGGGAGGATGGGGAGGAGGGGAGAGGAAGGGAGAGAGAGGGGTGCGGGAGGGGGGGAGAGAGAGAGGGAGGAAAAGGAGAGAGGGCAAAAGAAATGGAGAGAGAGAGAGAGGGGAGAGCGAGAGAGAAGAGAGGAGGTGGTGAGCGTGGGAAAGAGAGAAAAAAGATACGGAAGGGACAGAGACACAGGGGGAATAAAGAAAAGAGAAAAGAAAGAGGATAAGGATCAAGAAAGAGTTAAAAAGAAATTACCATACACGACCCACAGATTCATCTCCGAGGGCGCCATCTTGTTGGGGTACGAGTGGCTGTACCAATTCCGCGTGCTGGACCTCCCGTGGGACTCGCTGTACACGTGGTGGGCCTCCTTCTTCTTCGTTGACTTCTGCTACTACTGGGTCCATCGGGCGAACCACGGTGAGGAACGGCTCTATGTTTGCTGTGACGGTCGGTCTCTGTAGGTCCTACGTTATTATGCCTTACATTTTTATAGTTTTTTTTTTCTTTGTATTTGTGGTGTTTGTTCTTTTATTTGCGAACTATGGTGAGTTGGGTTTCTGTTTTGCCTTGGGACCTAAGAGTAGGTTCAGGTCTTGCAGTACGTGGGGTATATGGGCTCGACTAGAGCCCCACTTTATGAAGGGAGGTACAATACCTGTACAGTACCAAACTAAGGCGAGGTTCTCTCTCATGAAATCAATGATTGGGAGACGCAAAAGAACTGACACAGAATACTGAGATTGAAGTTAATTTGTGAGGAAAAGATGCATCTTGTACGTATTGCCTAGCAGGTATTCTGAACTCCTGTAGGGGTTCTTCGTCGACTTCTGCTACTACTGGGTCCATCGGGCGAACCACGGTGAGGAACGGCTCTTATGTTCTGCTGTTGACGGTCGTGTCTCTGTAGGTCCTACGTTATTATGCCTTTACATTTTTATAGTTTTTTTTCTTTGTATTTGTGGTGTTTGTTCTTTTATTTGCGAACTATGGTGAGTTGGGTTTCTGTTTTGCCTTGGGACCTAAGAGTAGGTTCAGGTCTTGCAGTACCGTGGGGTATATGGGTCGACTAGAGCCCCACTTTATGAAGGGAGGTACAATACCTGGTACAGTACCAAACTAAGGCGAGGTTCTCTATCATGAAATCAATGATTGGGAGACGCAAAAGAACTGACACAGAATACTGAGATTGAAGTTAATTTGTGAGGAAAAGATGCATCTTGTACGTATTGCCTAGCAGGTATTCTGAATCCTGTAGGGTGAGTATGTGGCTAGGGCTATTGCCTCTTACTGAATCCCAATTAAGTGTTTGTATGCGTTTTTTTATATGTACACATGAACGCAGATTCAGATGACAGTAAATACAACAATATTTTCCAGAGGTCAATCTCCTCTGGGCGGCCCACCAAGTGCACCATTCCTCCGAGGACTACATCCTCCCCACTGCAGTCCGCGTGTCAGTCTTCCAGCGCATGACCTACTTCGGGTTCTACCACCCCCTCGCCCTCCTGGGGATCCCCGTCTCCTCCGTCATGGTCCACCTTGCCTTCAACTTCCTCTTCCAGTTCTGGGTTCACAACGAGGACATCGGCAAGCTCGGGCCCCTTGAGTGGGTGTTCAACACGCCGTCGCATCACCGCGTGCATCACGGTGCGTTTGGGGGGCCTGGGATGTTTACTGTGTGTTCCCCTTCTTCGTTTTGTTTTGTCTATTACTCCTCTTTCTTTCTGTGGGGCAAGGTTGGATAGGGGTGATGAAGACTATGCGTAGGTTTAAATTATATCATCCTTGATACTGAATCGTTGATTTAGTAGATTGTTTGTAGAAAACACACCGTTACTCCATCTCGTTCATCATCGTGGGTGTCTTGATGGAATGATTTCGAATGTAAAGATATTTCATTTTGCTTTGGTATATCTATGCTTGCTGGGGGATATTTAGCATGTATGAATGAGAGACTCATGTTTGTTTTCTATTCTTAGGATTGTATATGAAACTATAATTGGCTAGGGAGTCTAATGACCATTGTGTAAATGTCCTATTACATTAATCTGAGACGTTAAAATGTTTTTCCCCTTTTTTCCCACAGGATCCAACAAATGGTGTCTTGACAAGAACTACGGCAGCATCTTTATCATCTGGGACAGACTCTTCGGCACTTTCCAGGAGGAGAAGGAGGGCGAGGAGATCGTCTACGGCCTCGTGGATCAACCTCAGTCCATGAACGGCGTCTGGCATGAGGTGAGTCCTTCCTCTCACAAGCGTCTGTTGTGGAAAAAAATGTACATGTCAGAGAATGTTGATGGTATTTGCATGCTATTTAAGTCTCCGTCTTTTTCTCTTTTAGTTCTGCTTATCTCCTACTTCCTCTGCTTTATTTATTTATTTTTTTCCTCTTATATTTCTCTTCCTCATCTCCGCAGATCTTCTACTTCGAGAAGATCTACGAGAAGGCGCGGAGCATGAGCAGCTGGGGCGACTCCCTGAGGGCGGTGTTCTACGGGCCCGGCTGGGTCCCCGGGGCGCCTCGCCTGGGGGACCCCGACGGCTTCCCGGACGTCAAGGCCCCCCGGGTGAAGTACGACCCCCAGATGCCCACGTGGTTCTTGTGGTATACTTTGGTTCACATGACGATCGGCATGTTCTTTCAGCAAATAATGTTAATTCACTTGCAGGTCAGTTTCACCTGGTACTTCAATCAGTTGTTATATATATATATATGTATATATATGTATATTTTTTTTACTAAACTGAAGAATAACTGTATCATGGCTCTTAGAATCCACATTATACTCGCATCCACAGGCTTCTTCGTGGCTCACGGTCGCCCTCTTCATCGCCTTCAACTTCCTGACGGTGGGCGTCCTGTTCTCCATGTTCGACGGGTGGCGTTGGGCGCCGCTGCTGGAGTCCGCCCGCTGCGCCGCCTTCCTGCTCTACGCCCGCGCGACGCCCATCTCCGGCGCCCCGATGCTGGACGGCGCCCTCGTCCTCTGCTTCGCCATGAGCGCCGTCTTCTGGACGTCGCAGAGCCTCCTGGTCATTGGCGCGCCCACGAAAGCCGTTAAATTTGAATGAGCCAATGAGCGCCTCTTCCTCTGCCTCGCCACAAGCGCCATCTTGCGGTTGTTGTTTCGCTCGCAGTAGGATGCCAATTATATGTTTGTCTTATTTTTGATCAGTCCAACTAAATATTTATTAATTTGCCTTGAGCGACGTAAGATAGACATTATTAACCGAACTATTTTTCATAACAGAGTGGGATGGAATGGAGTTACGAAATGTAAATATATAAACATTGGATTATGCAAAGTGAGTTTTCATGAATAAGCCTTTGATTTACCAAAATATGCTAGCATACCTGCAACGAGATTTACCTATGTTATGCTGCATACATAAATATAATGATTCGATAACTTAAATTATCATTATCATTATCATTATCATAATTCACATTGTCAGCATGATTATCATCGGTATTATCATATAATCCTTATCAACCATGTTATTACTATCATTAAATAGTAACCACTAAGCTTGTGCACAACATTGCATTTTTCCATTGCTGAGATACTACTTTTTCAAAAGCGACTTGTTGCAAAAAAAAAAAAAAAAAAAAAAAAAAAAAATCTCTAAAAATATAGTTTTGAAGCATTTTTTTACCGAAATATGCGTCGTCTGCTAATTTACACGATGACGTCATGAGTTGTGTTAGTGTCAGTGTTGCTTATTATGGCTATGGCATGTTCTTCATCATCCAGTGTAGATAGCTTTTCAAGTTCGTCTTTTGACGGTAGTCTGGTTAATCTGGTTACAGGAGGTGATTGGCGATTCCTTTGCAGGTTTTCGAAGTCGATCGTACCGAAGAAAATGGGGCCTAATCTAATATGTTAAAACTATGTTAAAATACATCTTAACTGTGGTTTTGATTTTTACAGGTGCAAGTGTGACAGATGTGAGTTATGTGAAACTCCAGAGGAAAACTATGATGCACAGAAAAGATGCCAATACAGGAAAAAATTGATGAGTACAACGACAATTTTGGAGAATTAAACATTAAATGCATTACACAGCATTCAGGTTTCATGTCTAACTGTCTGGATGTCTGGGTTCTGCAGAGTGAGTGAGTGTGTTAAATAAAATAATTAAATATATTTTTTCAGATACAGTATTAGTAATATGGATCTCTATCCATATTTGGTGGACAATAGGTCATTTGCATACAAAATATCACACGAAAATATCACACGAAAGGTTCTCATCCATGCATTCACGGCGATGACAAAGAAAATGAACACAACTCATGACGTCATTCCCGGGTTGGTGGCGCTACTGGTAATATTTGAGTTAAAATCTGTAGCAGACGACATTTTGGGCCCAGAATTTGTTCATTCAAAAAGCTATAAATATAAAACGCGTTTTTTAATTTTTTTTATTCATTTTTTAAAATCTTATGCATATTTAGAGGTACAAGAACATATTCTGAGATGAATATCATACATTTAATTCACATAGTGGTTACTATCTAAGATTTTTTTTTCATAATCATTATTATTATCACTGATGTTATTATTTCAACACGTTAACATTAGCACAGTTTTCAATGTATG